GGGGAGGGGGGACGGAGGAAGGGAGGAAGGAAGGAAAAGCATAAGAGAAAAGAGGAAGTTCAAAGAGAAAAGGGGGATTGGGGAAATATCAGAGAGAGAGAGAAAGGCCACAAAAGAAAGACAGAAGAGAGAAAAAGGAGGGTGAAAAAAACAAACACCTAAGAGAGAAGACGGGCTAGAAAGAATGAATCAGGCGTGATCCTACAGGGTTTTTTGGCTCTGTCAGCTATTGGCCAAGGCCCTTTTGGTGAAGAAGGAGAAGCAGCTGCTGCTTGGGATGTTTTTTGCTGCAGTGGCTTGCCCAGGGCGGTGCTCAAGGTCGCGGTGACCTTCTTCTTCGCAAGCCTCCCGCCATGAAGAGGAAATAGGAATGCACATCCGGGCAGCTGCCTTGCCTGGCTTGCAAGGCTGAAGTAGACCTCCTCCAGCAGCAGGAGCGACAACGACAACAGCCACAACCCTCAGGGTTTTGCACACACACACCCCCATCTTTCCCATGCAGCCAGGAAATTAATATCGATCCTCTGCTCCACGGCACATAACCAGCCCTCTGCGTGAGACGACGCTCTTCCGAATCACACACCCGCAAGGCCACCCTCCCTTGTGAAAATCAGGCTTGCCAGATCCGGTGAGGGGGGGGTGGGGGGAGGTGTCAATTGAAGGGAGATTTCCTGCAGACCCCAGGCAGAAACTTCAATCCGATTAACAAGAGTTGTGGAAGGGACCTTGTTAGGTCATCTAGTCCAACCCCCTGCCTAAGCAGGAGATCCTACCCTACGCCGTTTCTGAGTCCCCTTCCCCTGCCGTGCCCGCCAAGCCACAACCGCCAAGCCACACGACGCCTACTAAGCCACGCCCACAGAACTGGGAGTAAAAAAAAAATTTGAATCCCACCACTGCTCCAGCCTCCTCCTCATCTTCACAAGGAACTTCACAACGAACGGCCAGATCAGAGCAAAACAGACAGGGGGATAGGATAAGTAAAAGCCAAACCGCGGGGCCACAAATGTTTCCGTAATTGCTCATTTCTTCCTCCTCCTCCTCCTCCTCCTTTTCCTCCTGCTCCTCCTCCTCCTCCTTCTCTTCCTCCTCCTTTTCCTCCTCCTCCTCCTCCTTTTCCTCCTCCTCCT